ATGATATCACTAAACACATTAAATAGAATTTGCTTTACTGGGTGCTAAAAGGGTGGGTAGAGCCAGAGAAAAGAACACATGATTACTGACCAAAAACTGCTCAAAATCTAAAAGCATAACCAGGATATGTGAAGCAGCCTGAGAAAGATTCCAGTCAGAATACAAAGGACGGCAACATACCTTTCAGAATTAGGAAAGAAAGAATAGAACTGGAATAGGTTTTACCTGGAAAACTTCCTGGAGTTCAGGTTTGAGGTGTTTCTGTGAGTATGCAATAGTATAGAGGAGAAATTGGGGCCTCATTGAGGCCTGTGGAGGGGGGCAGGGAATCCTCTCCCTCTGCTTCTGCCTTCACCTTTCCTGTAGGGGAAGAGATATCTCCCTCACTTAGGGCTCATGTGATGAGGCTGTTCTCTTTGATTCCGAGGCAGGAGATGGGAGTCTGAGACATGCAGTGAGGAGAAGAAGCCAGGTATGAGACAGAACAAAGACAAGCTGGAATCCACAAACTGAAGTGGTTTTCACTTCCTCTGACCTTGATGATATGAGTATCCACAGGAGAAGCTGGGGCCCTTGATTGTGGAGCTAAATGCCCATCTGGGCCAGGAATTAGAGAAGGTGAAGGAAGAATTATGGGAAGGGGGAGTGGTTGCAGACCCAACTGCTGCCGCACACCCATAGGTGATTCAGCAGGTAAGTGGCAACATGTGTGAACTACACAATGTCTGCTGCTTCTCTTCCAGGCTCCACGTCTCACACTGAAATGTACAGTGTTACCAGACACCTACCAGTAAGGAAATTCTGAGAAATGTAATTTATTCTACCCAAGATGATCCTTTACAAAGCTCCCATGCCATGTATGAAGGCAACCAGGTGTGAATGAACAAGTATGGTTTGCAGTGAGCCAGCAGGTCAGTTTAACTCAGGGCTTACAGTTTGCTCTCAAACTTTAACATGTATCACAAACACCTGGGCAGCTGGATAAAACCCTTTCTGATTTTGTGGTCCAGGGTTGGGCCAGAGAATGCCGTTTCAAGTTCGCAAGTAATGTTGTCACTCTTGGGTCAAAAGACCACACTTTGAGAACCATTGGTTTAGCTGAAACACAGAGGGCTCACAGCATTTTAGTGAGAAATACAAGTGGAGAAGAAAATATAGCAAGGGGATAATTAAGAAAAGATATTGAACAGTGGACAACTGTTGAGTGATATCCACTGTGACAGGACATCATTATAAATGACCGAACAGGAAGTTAAATAGCAAAGATACTGCTCGCAGCAGGATGTGTTCTTGCTTGTGTGGGAGGCACAGCCTCAAGTGGAGCTTGGAAGTGAGGAAATAAATTGCAAGACCATGTTACAATAATCTAATGATACAGAGTAAGTGACTGTGGAAACAGAAATAAGGGATACAACAACGAAAAACTACTTGGGACATAGCTTCAAGTTCCCTACTCTTTTCTACTGATCAATGTGGTCTAATGTCTCTTTTGTTTACGTCACCAGAGTCCAGGTAAAGGGACTTCAGCCTTTAAGTTTCATCTTTTATACTTTTATAAACTTTCCTCTGATTATAATACCAATACCTGTGCATTGCAGAAAATTTGGAAATCAAAGTATAAAGAATAAAGCAGAAGTTGTCCCTCAGGCCAGATGTGATTGCTGTCAAATTTGGGATGTATTTCTCCTCATTCTTTTCTCTTCTCTGTGTACATGTGTATGTGCATGTGTGTGTGTGTGTGTGTGTGTGTGTTTGTTTGTTCATATATTTTATTTTATTTGAAATTGGAAGGCTTTACCATGACCGCATGAAAGTGATCTTAACTGGGCAGTCAGGAGGGCATGCTACTAGCGTCTCAGCCAAGGTAGCCCTGTGGCACTCAGTGTTCTTGTCAACTTTCATCTCCATGAGTGATCTCCAGGTGGCCTTTTCAGACAGTTCACTGCTGGTGACATCAGTGTCTGGGGCTATCAGCAGCTTGTTATATGGCTTCAGACTGATGTTTCCCGAGACATCAAATGAGTGGAGACAAGGGTGATAGAACAGGTATGGTAGCAAAGCTTGTCTGAGAACCAGTGCGGCCGGGCTGCGGGTTTAGACGTTATCTCATCTGATTGGTCTGCACTGAATCCCTGCAAGACAGAAATAATAAGAGTAACAAAAAGATCAACAATGACCCTGCTTTCTGGATGCTAAGGTCTTTATACTCCAGGTTATCTCATTTAATGGGTTATCTCACTTATTTCTTACAACATTACAATGAGAAAGATTCTGTTATTTTATCTATTTGCAGATTAAGACATTCTGGCTTGGAAGTTAAAAACTTCCAAGTTTTTAGAGACTGATGCTTAGAAACTAGATGACTTGTCCCCGATCAAACATGTAGTACATGACAAAGTCTAGCCTAGCCTGGAACCCATCTTCAGATTCACAGGGTGTTTGTTCCTTTTTCTGCTTCAATCCTTTGCTCTCCCTGAACAAATCTACGATTCTTTCTGATGCTGACTGCAGCTTAGAAACTCTCTCTTTCCTGTCCATGTTTCTGATTTTGGATTTACAATCTTTTCTGATCTCATTGTCTGCTTGCTGTGTCTGTGTCCACTCAGATTTAAATGTCGGCACCTCTGACACCCCCCCCCCCCCCCCCCCCCCCCCCCCCCCCCCCCCCCGCCTCCCCGCCCAGTCTGGTAACCTGACCCTTGAGTGTGTCTTAGCTCAGACCAGCTCTTCTCCTGGGCGTCTGCAGGAAGGCTCCAAACCTCTTCACCTGACGTTGCTGAGCTAATGAGAACTCTGAAGGACAGTGATAACTTATTCTGAAGCCACCGCATAAGTGCTCAGCAGGATGTGACAAGAGCAGTTCACCTCCATTTCACGCACTCAGAACCCACCCTGTGCCATCTGTCTCCTCCACACTCCAGCTTTCTTCCTTTTCCACCCTCCCTCCACGGGGCTTCCCTCCTCTCTCTGGAGCATAGCACAGGGACCCTTTTCCTGCCTTACAAAGAGGACGCGAAGTTGAATCCATCCCCATCTAGTTCCTGTCTGTTCTCTGCAAGTGGCAGTGAGCTATTTTTATGTCTGTTTCCTCGACAAGGTATAGTGTGAAGGCAGGAGGTAGGTTTTCAAAACAAATAACTTCAATTATTTTTATAAATAAATTTATACTGGTGAAAATCTGACATTTCTAACTTTACCAGGAAACTTTGTTTTTTTAGCTTCAACTTTTAAATCTGCCATTTATTTCACACTCTTTGCTAAATCATGCATCCATGGCAAATTTTACTTTGCTTTGTACTTTTGTTTTGCTTTCTTTATTTGTTTTTGGTTCCTATTCTCTAATTGTTACTCATTTGTAGGGTTTTCTATTAATCCTCATATCAACAGTTATACTATTTTCTTATAAGTGGTCCAGGAATCTGAATCAGTTCATTAAACTGGGCATGAAACATGTATATCTTCAGAGTAGGCAAGTCACTTAGCAACATAGATAAAACAGGGGATTTTGTCCCTGATGATTTATCTTCATGTCAAAGCGTATCTTGTAATATAGGTAGATAGACAGATAAAGTATGACATACCTAATGTAATATATATATATATATAATATATAATATAATATGTATCGTATATAAGGTAATATATATATTTGGTAATATAGCATAACATGTATAACTGTATGTAACATATACATAACTATGTTCAAGTATATATACTATGTATAACCATATCCATATCTATACATGTATATAACTGTACATATACTATGTATAACTATATATATATATACATATATATGGTATTTTATAATATATATATATATATATATATAATGCCAAAAGGAAAAGCCTTTGTTTTAGAAAAACAAAGCAAACTATTTTTTAAGTGTATTTATTTTGAGAGAGAGGGAGAGCAGGCACAAGCAGGGGAGGAGCAGAGAGAGAGGGGAGAGATCATCTCAAGCAGGCTCCATGCTGTCAGGGCAAATCCTGACAGATGGCTCAGTCTCATGAACCATCAGATATTACCTGAGCCAAAACCAAGTGTCAGACGCTTAACCAACTGAGTCACCCCGGTGCCCCAGCAATCAGCCAGTTCTAGTGACTTCCCAGAGAGGTTTCAGACAGGGATGGAGACAAACACTTGAGGGTGGGCAATGAAAAGGTGAGAGGGTGGTGAGAAAACAGGCAATGGATATGGAAAATTCATTTGAGACGCTGAGAAATGTGAGAGGGAGAAGGTTGGGAGAGACAGAAAGGAGAAAGAGCAGAGAGAGAGAGAGAGAGAGGAAAAAATCATCTGGTAGAGATATGTTTAAGACTGGAGAGGTGTGTGTGATTAACAGGCAAGACACAATGAAGGATGAAAGATAAAGGGTGTCCAATTTAGAGAACCAGATCTCAGAGGGGAGGATCTCTTGCAAGGAGAGCACAGGCAAGAATATGAGGCATAGAAGGTGAACTCTTTGCTATATACTTAGCAGAGGACAAGAATGGAAGCAAACCACAATTCATTGAATACCTCCCACATGCCAGGGGTTTTGCCTGTCTCTTTCATTTGACGTGCTCACTCCCAAGCATTACCCGAATTTAAGAGTACACCGATGTTCAAAGAGATTAGGTTGGTTACCTGTGGCCAGATAACCTGTGGCAGAGCTGGTATTAGATTCAGTTTTCTGTGTTCAAAGCCCCAGTTTTTTTCCCTATGCCTCTTCAACATTTTAAACTATATCTAGTAGAAGACAAGGGGAGGCAAGTATCTGTGCCAGGACAGAAAGAGGGTTAGTGGTGCTGTGGAACTCGCGTTTCATAGCAGCTGAGGAAGCCCTAGGGCATAGTTTACACACCTAGCATTGCAGCAGGTAAGCTACTGTGGCTAGCCCCAGGAATGGGTTAAGTTAAAACTGGAGGAATGGCTCCCACATTACTCTTCTGTATTACAGGGGAACAAATGCAGTAGATTGAGGACAGCAGCCCAAGCAGAGGGACGTGTCCAGAGTAAGCATCTGCGGTGTAGAAAGAGGCAGAGCCTGAAGTCGAAGGTGAGCATGGGTTCCGGTGCATGAGAAATGATAAGGGCGAAAACATCAAACTCTATGGAGGGAGCAAGCTCAGGAGGTGTGAGGATGGCTTCTCAGGCATTCGTTCTGGGATCTAGCTGCTTATCTTTCCACCACGCCTCCTCTCCCGAGGCTCGGGACTCTGGCCCCAGCAGACATCTTTCAGTGCTTCTTCAAGTGAGCAGCATTGTCTTCTCTTCTTTGTACATGGTCTCCTCTGCCTGGATGCTTCCTCTGACTCCCTGCATTGTTCCTTGTTTTGTTGTGGTTGTTGTTTTTGCTTAGGTTTCAGGTTGGAGAATGAGTCTTCTAGCATGTTTCCTTACATGTTTGGACTGAAGAAAATGCTTTCTGTTGAACTCTATATTTTCTTCTTCATACATTTATAATTATGTTGCAATTGTTCGTTTAGCTGGCTCTCTGCCTACTCTGGATGAAAAGTTTCATGAAGGCAGACCTTGCGGATTGTTACCTCTTTCAGCTCCAGGTGCCTGGTGTAGCTCTGGGCACACAATAGGGGCTCCATAAGTATTTGTTGAAAACATGAATGAATGAATGATTTAATAAATTACTTGAAAAATATATTTTATTCTACCTCTTCTTTCTGTCTGAATGAAATTGTTCCCCTTGATATTGTTTAAATGCTAAATTTTTCCTCTGGGTAAAGTACTTCATTAGCATCTTCATGGAGACTATTCCCACATTACATTACCATTATGCATCTTCTCAGATGTTCTGTATATTTTCATCTGGGCAATGCAAACTCAGATGTCCAAAACAAAGCTTATCTTACTCCCAAATCTCTTTCCTTCCCTGATTTTCTTATTCATGTCAGTGGCAGTAACGTTACTCTCCTGGTTACCCAGCTATAACCCTCTCTTGCCTCTTCACAGCCTGGCCACTAACCCTTATTTTTTTATAATGTTTTCCTAGTAGTTCTTATGACATAACCCTTATCCATGATCCTACTAATTACATGCCTTCATTATATTGAAAAAATCTATGGAACTTGTACAACTGTATATCCACATGCAAAGAAATGAAGTTATATCCATACCTCATACCATGTAATATAACAAAAGTTAATGTTAAATGGATCAGAGACCTGAATGTTAGAGCTAAAACTATATATTTTTAAGTTTAATTTATTTATTTTGAGATAGAGAGAGAGAGAGAAAATGAGGAGGGGAAAGGCAGAGAGGAAGAGAGGGAGAGAAACAATCTTAAGCAGGCTCCAGGCCAACATCATGGAGCCCAATGCGGGCCTCAGTCTCACAAACCGTGCAATCATGACCTGAGCTGAAACAAAGAATTGGATGCTTAACTGACTGAGCCACCCAACTAAAACTATAACTGAGCCCCAGAATGAAAACTATAAATCTTCTAGAAGAAAATGTAGGTAGGTATAGTTGCCTGGGATGGATACCTAAAGCCAAAGTGATGAAGGAAAAAATAGATAAATTGAGCTGAACCAAATTTTAAAGTTTTGTGCTTTAATTTTTTTTAATGTTTATCTATATTAGAGAGAGAGTACATAAGCAGGGGAGGGGCAGAAAGGGAGAGATGGAAACAGAACCTGAAGCAGGCTTCTGGCTCTGAGCTGTCAGCACAGAGCCTGAGTGGGGCTTGAACCCATGAGCTGTGAGATCATGACCTGAGCCGAAGTCGGACCCTCAACCCACTGAGCCACCCAGGTGCCCCTAAAGTCTTGTGCTTCAGAGGACACCATCAGAAAGTAAAAGGGCCACCCCTAGAATACGAGTAAATACTTGCACATTGTGTTTCAGATCATATATCTGACTTGTGTCCAGAATATGTAAATATATGTAATATATAAACAACTAAATAACTCTTACAACTTATAATAAATATTATTTATATTACAACTCATGATGAATATAATTAGTCATTAGAAAAATACAATGAGATACCACCTCATACCTATTAGTATGTATACTAGTTATAACCTGAAAGACAGACAATAATAGTATTGTCAAAGATTTGGAGAAATTCAAACCCTTATACAGTGGTGTTATGCATGTAAAAAAGTACAGCTATTTTGAAGAAAATTTGGCAGTTCCTCAACATGTTAAATGTAGAGTTACCATATGACTCAGCAACTCTTTTCCTATGTATATACCCAAGAGACATAAACACATAATGTCTACACAAAAAGTTTTGCAAGAATGTTTGTAGTAGCATTATTTATAATAGCGTGAAGTGGAATTAATGTAAATGTTCATCAATTAGTGAATGGATAGATTAAATGTGATATATCCTTATAATAAAATATTATTTGGAAATAAAAAGTATTGAAATATTGACCCATGCATGCTACAACATGGATGACCCTTGAAAACATTGTTAAGTTAAATAAGCCAGTTGCAAAAGACAACATATTATATCATTTCATTTGTATGAAATGTACAGAATATGCAAATCTATACAGATATTAAGTAGATTAGTTTATCAATCTATTTAAGGGCTGGGGAAGAAAAGGAAGGAATGAGGATTGACTACTAATGGATGCAAGTTTTTTTTTTTTTAAATGTTTATTTATTTCTAGGAGACAGTGAGAGAGACAGCGTGAGCAGGGGAGGGTCAGAGAGAGAGGGAGTCACAGACTGAAACAGGCTCGAGGCTCTGAGCTGGCAGTCAGCACAGAGCCCTACGCGGGGCTCGAACCCACGAACCGTGAGATCATGACCTAAGTGAAAGTCGGACGCTTAACCAACTAAGCCACCCAGGCACCCCTGGATGCAAGTTTTTTTTAGAGAGGAGCATAGTGGTTCTAAAATTAGATCATGAGGCATGGACAACCTGTGAATATCTTAAAAATCTCTGACACACACTTTAAATGGGTGAACTATTGTGTGAATTACATGTGTACAGACATGTCTCCTAGATTGTTCTCTTCATCTCTTCCACTTCTAATCCACCCAGCTCATTACCACATGTGAAACCATCATTTTGTACATTCACCTTTCTGCTCAGCACCCATTGGTTGCTCTCCATTGACTCAAAGGTCCAGATTCCTTTATTTGGTATTTGAGGCTTTTCATGTCCTAATCTCAGTGTGCCTTTTAGACACTGTCACCTGCTTTGTCACATGAATTCTCTTCTTTGCCTGGAGAGGCTTATTCCCTTGTCTTGTTCTATACCATTGTATATGTTGGTCCCCTTCTCTTGAAAGCCCTTTCTTCTTGTTTTGTATAAATCTAAATCTTACTCTTCTTTTAAGTGACCTCTCTTCAATGGTGATTTCCTTGGCACATGCAGTTCTTAGCAGTTTCTCTCTTCCATGAGCTCCACTACTCATTTTGTACCTATCATATTTTACCTCTGTGGTAAACAGAGAGCAAAGTTATGTTCAAATTATTTAGTAACAAACGCAAGAAAACCAACACACATATTCAGAATCTTCCCCAGAAATAGTCCCATTTTCTGTTATGATTTGGAAATAATTCAATGATGAGTTTAAGGTGCCAGGAAGTGATAATCCTAAAACATAATTGATTTAAAATAGACTTCTTTTTAAAAACCACATAGCATCTGGGGCGCCTGGGTGGCTTAGTCGGTTAAGCGTCCGACTTTCGCTTAGGTCATGATCTCGCGGTTTGTGGGTTCGAGCCCCTCGTCGGACTCTGTGCTGACTGCCAGCTCAGAGCCCGGAGCCTGTTTCAGAGTCTGTGACTCCCTCTCTCTCTGACCCTCCCCTGCTCATGCTGTCTCTCTCCCTCTCTCTCTCTCTCCTAGAAATAAATAAAACATTTTAAAAAATTAAAAAAAAAACAACAGCATCAGGTAGGAATGTTGTAATTGACAAGAGAACTTAATGACTAATAATGAGTATTGGAAAAAATGATTTAGAAAGAAAAAATCCTGGTAGTCTATCTTCTGGCTGTCTCGACCCTAATCCTTTATTTCTTACATAAAATTGTTTGTTAGTTTAGAGAAAGAAGTGGCTTTAGGTATGAGGACCACAGTGATTCTACAAGACCATTTACATTTTTTCTTATAATATCTTAGTCTGAGCATGTGCCTCAAATATCATAATCCTTGTCTAAGGCCTTAGACAAGAAAATTGTCCTCATTAGGCAAGAAATACTATCATTATACTAATAATAATGAAACATGTGTAATTCTTATTATCCAGGCCTTGTATTTACATGCATTTTCTCATTTAATCCTCACAGTATACCTCTGAGCTACATGTATACTATTATTATTCTCATTTTATTCAACTTGTCTGCATTAGTTCAGATTAGGTTTGAATGCAAATATGAGAAAACCTTAAAATAACCATTAACTTAAAAGTGTATTTCTCTATCATGGAAATGTGCAGAGGTGTTTGACAAGGCTTTGGATTGTATTTTGTGGCTCTGTCTCAAGTCTTCAACAGCTGAAATTCTTACCAGTTCCCCGTTCTTGTATCCATTGGGTGTTCCCTTCAGCCTTATCATCCAGGGTGACATCCATATTTTAGGCAATTGGATTGAGGAAAGAATGAATAACAAGGGCAGAGAGTATATTAGCCTACTTTTTGGGAAAGTTCTCAGAAATGGCTCATAGAACACTCAAACTGGACAGAATTAGACATATGGGACACATAAGAGAATTTGCTACAAGGAAGGCTAAGGATGTAGTCTGTATTCTGGGTGGCAATGTGCCCAATTAAAAATTCTGTTATTGTAAAGAAAAAAAATGGTGAGAATGGATCCTGGGGCACAACCAGACGTTTCTAATGTGTGATGATCTCAGGTCAAAACAGCTAGTAAGTAAGGGAGCAGGAATCAAATCTGATCTGTCTCTTCAGAGCCCATGTGTCTCCTGAGCACCTAGATTCTTCATGATGAGATGTTTAATTTGAGATGAAAGGCCAAGATGAATAGTAAAGCACTTACCACCTTAGCTAAATGTACTTAGTAGCCCTAGGAGCCTGCTTCTTTTTTAAGGAAAGCTTAGGTCACCCTTGCACTCAA